AAACCCACTACCTAGCTAAGGGCCCAATTAAGAGTAGCTGTTCTACCTGTGTATGATTGATAACATTTTTAATTATCAACTGAGATTTCTTTACTCCTTTATACTTCCTTTAATACTCTGTAAAGGCTGTTCACTGAGGGATGATGCACTTAATCTAGAACAAGTGATCACTTAAGTTTTTGTTTTTAAAAATCCAAACAAAGAGCCATGGTCTTGAAAATCAGCATATGTATGACAATAGCCTGACTTTTTGAAAGCAAAGATTTTTTGAGCTATCTGAAACTAAAGAACTGAGAACAAACCATAGAGTGGGAATGACTATATGGTGATGTAAAAGTTTTCATGTTTCTGGGAAGGGAAATGAGTCATTGACTAGCTAGTGGAGAAGAATTCAGGATGTAATGAGACCCTAGTCATTATTCAAGTCTCTGTGAAGGTGGCCAGGACTCCAGCTCACTAGGTTGAACAGAAGGGAGATTGAACAATAAGAATTTTAATGAAAATCCAAGTGTAGAGATGACTATGCCTCACTTCCCAGGGAAACTTTGGGCATCATAAAGCTCTCTCTGTATATTCTCTGACCCTGGAAAGGTAGACAAGCAATGGTCAAGAGAAGTGCCCAGGCAGATGGGCCTGATTGCCACCTGACAGGGTTCCCAGGCCCTCAGAGGAGTGAGCCTCTAAAGTGATTTCATGGACCTCATGGAGGGCATAGAATGGTTTAAGTAGACCATCAACCTTAAAGGCCAGAGATGGAACAAAGAGGATGCAGATGTACATATCTCTACCTGAGGTAATAGTTATACCTGACACAATAGCAGTGGATCCCTGCGCACACTGATGTAACTGGACACATTGCAGCTCAGTGACGGTCAGCATGGACATAGGATATGTGTGAACCTGATGCCTTTTCTCTACACTTTAGGCTCCCTTTCATGAAAGAGAGCAACATGTTATTAGTGGTAGTGTTCTTAATCACCTCCTATTTACCCTGTTGGTGAGGGAGTGCTAAACACCACCTGACTCAGAAGAGATAAGATCAACAGCAGGTTATTAGTCACGTCTACTGATGGCCTGGGGGAGGAGGACACAGAACACCTTGCTGGGCCACAGAGGAGTTGCACTCAAGAGCAGAGTGAACAACCAGGGCTGTAGGAAGTAGGCTTTGGAGAATTAAGAGGGTAGGGTGTTCCCAGTTGTTGTGGAATGATGTGATTCACTTGTTTGATTTGGCAGACAAACAGGGAACAAAACCTGCTACTCATGGATAAACAGAAACTGTGCCTGGTCCTCTTGGTAAGGATGGTGGTTTGTCTAGGGTACCTGATCAGTGGGAGTAGAGTGGGGAGGAGAACTTGTAGTTAGGCCATTAGAGACCTATTTTATTAGATATCAAGCCTTAATTTTTGGCTTTATGCTATAATTGATCACTTGATGCTTTGATATCAGTTTAAATCTTGATGATAACTGAGACTTTTAGGGATTAGGAGAAGTGCCTTCCTAGGAAGCAAAGTAGGCACCTGACCAAGGGGAGAGGGGCACATCTTGAGGTGGTTGCCAAAAACATGAACTTTAGGTATGTCTCCATATATAACCAGTAAAGGCATTTGAGAGACCTGTGTGACACTGATATAGAGAGTGGGTGTTCCCAGGGGGGTGTGAATTGAGGCTAATCAATGCTTGTGGCAGTGGTGACATCAAGCATAGGGACATTTGTCTCCTTGTGACTTAAATAGTTCTTTGAAAACCCATTAGGCTTATCAATTAAACTAGCTGCATGGGGCTGACTACCTGAGGCCTCTGGGGAGGCTGCATTTGAATGGAAAGCCTTCTTCAAGATTCCACTGTGTATTCTGAGACATAAGATGAGTGCCTTGGTAACAATCTAGTGTCTCGAACTCTAAATGAGATGAGGAATGTCCTGTTGAGGCCTTGTATTATGGCCTTAGGATATGTAGAGAAACCTGTTTTTTTGGTTTTTATATTTATATTTGGGTATCTGTGAAACAAGAGATTCACAGAGTTCTTTAAAGTGCAACTCTTAGGCAATGGTCTAAGAGTTGTAAAAATATATGTATGAGGCCAAATGACCAGGGCATCCATTGCCAAGATGAATGCCTGGAGTGTGCCCATTGTGCTGACCCTTGGGTTCTGTTCTTTATCAGGGACATCTTGGTTAAGGAATTAAAAGCAACAAGTCTCCACTGAGCTCTATCATGTATAATTGTAGCAACATCATTGGTAAAGTGTATGGCCTTCTATTGCTGTTCATTCAGTTGATCCCAGGGGTCTCTCCAGGTAGCCAAGGACTGTAGGAAAGGGATGACTTCCCCTAGCACCATGGTTTTTGGCAAAGGACTGATGGTACAGGAGGCCACCACCTTCTACAGATAGAATATGCCAGAAGGCCCAAGCTTGACTCCATCCTGTTGTAAAGAGGTCTCATAGCCACGCCAAATTCATGGGGGTGCTGCTCCAATGTATTACAAGGCATTACAGAAGCTGGGTACAGAGGGTCACAGCTTCAAAGTCTGTGAGACCCTCTATTTCTGGTAAAGCCCAGTGTGGCCAGTAATTGCCACTGTAATGGTGTGTAGTGCAAGGCCAGGAAAGGCAGTTTCTGGCATCAAAAGCCCATGAGCAACTTATGACCATCACAGTGACCCAGAGACTCCAGGAGGCATGAGATGAGGTTGCAGAAGTCTCTCAGGGCACTAATTGGAGTGCCTGTTGATTTCATTTTGGAGAGCTTCTATAGTCTTTTGTTGAGGAGGTTCCCCTTTAAGATGGGCAGTCTGTAAGTAACAGCATTAGTGAGATTAAAGAAAATTTGCAAAAGAATATGTTGTCTCCTGAACCCAAAAGAGACTAAAAGATGTTAGACTTGTGTTAACCTTGTGGGTACTGAGAGGGTTAATACCTGTTTTTTTGACAGTATCAGGGATGGAGCAGCTTTTGGTTTACCAAATAACTTTCAAGAATTTAACAGAAGTCACAGGACTTTGCACTATGTGAGAGATAATGATCCACCCTTTTTGTGTGAGTTCCTTTGTGAGTATTTGTATGTTCTCAATGAATATGCCAAACAAATCTTCCTGGAAAAGGATATCATCAATGTAATATACCTGTGCTCTTGGAGAAAGGTGGATGTCATTAAGATCTTGCCTGCAAGGGCTGTGTGCAGTGGCAAGACTGCTGAGGTAGCCCTTGAGTAGCCTGGTAAAAATACATTGTGTCTTGTGGGAGGTAAAAGCAAACTGACTGCTAAGCTGTTGACATTGGCACCCAATGGATCATATTAGCCTAATTCGTAGTAGCAAAATATCTATCAGTTGCTGATTGGATGGAGTCAGAAGTTTCAATACTCAGTTTGTTGGGAATAAGGGCTGAATTGTATGGGACCGTGGCATTAAGGTTGTAGCAGTCTAGTGTGCTGCACTATTTATTTGTTCCAGGTTTAAGAACAGGCTAAATAGGCCAGATTGGGTTGTTAAATGGAGAAGTAGTGGGGATAATCACCCCTGTACTCTATAACTGTCATATAACAAATTTTAATCCTCAAAATCCCTATTTTAAATTACTTTGAGCCATGTTAATAATTATTTTAATTTGGGGTGGAGGCAGAGGAGTCATGAGCTCCCATTTTGTCAAGCCAATTTATAAGTGTCAAGATTTAATCTAATTTCCATTTATTTTTAATTGGGTCAGAGCATCCATGTCCATTATGGGATATTTTAGGGCAATGATTGCTATGACTGTGGTGGGAAATTTAGGCGAGACAGTAATTATGATGGTTAAGATGAGGCATATCTCTTTGTCCTCTATCCTATATTCCATAACTCCTCTAATATTATGGGGGATACCATGTTTAAATTTAGTATGATCCCTAGTCATAACTGTAATCTGAGCCCTAGTGCCAGTTAAAGCCATGAAGGTTTGCCAATTGCTGCATTTCAGCAGGTATTAAAGTTAATTAAGAATCTACACTGTAGAGGCACAAAAGCCAATCAGTGCCCCTTTATCTTGGCTATATAAATGCTTTTAATATATTTTGAATTTCCAATTGGGTCAAATTGTAGATCTTTGTTTTAGGGGTTTTTGTTGTTGTTGTTGTTGTTGGTTTCCCCCCATATCCAGGATTTATTTTTCTTTACTTTTTAAAATTTCTTTTCTTTCTTTCTTTTCTTTTTTATTTTTTTTTAAGTGGTGGTGGTCACTGGACATATTTGGTGGTGGTGGGGTGGTGGTGAGGGATCCTCTTTACTATGATGATATTTATAAGCCTTTTCTCTCAGAGAGCTTCAAATTAGTATCATCAAGGTCAGGGGTTTCCCCCACAGCAATGGTTGATTTATATGGTTTAAAGAGCCTGGGCTTAAGTTGAGTTTGAATTAATGGTGCCATGGGGTACCACAGTGCCATAAAGGTAACATAGATATTTCTCTATAACCTCAAGGATTAGGATCTTTATTGCAACAGAGACATAGTAAGCAGACTGGCACAGGGAAAGAAAGCTAGGTTTTTAACCCAAACTCAATAGACCAAAATTATCTCCTGCTGCCACTGCCCTACCTTTTCTGTCCTGTGGAATTTTTCCCTCTTTCTTTCTTTCTTTGTTTCTTTCTCTGCACAAATTCCTTGAGCATATTTTGAGTTTGTATCTAGGTGAAATTGGAGCTTTCTGTACAGTCATCTGTGGTGCAGACTTTCTGGGTACTTATGGGAAAACATTAGGGAGCTTAGTGGCCTTTCTCAGAAGTGGTTGCCTCTTCCTCTGGGGAGTGCGAGTCAGTGTCTCTAGGGTTGAGGTCCATATCCAGTAAAGTCATTAGTCTATGGCTTGGATAGGGCCAGCAAGCCCATGATTGCAAGATTGGCCGTTTGGTGTGCTGGTAGGCAGCAGTGCTGAGCCCAGGCGTACTGGCTATGGGTTTTGCATTGGGAGATCATTTGAGTACCAAATGCTCCTTCCTCTCCCCACCCTTTTCTTTTTTCATTAGCACCTGTGCCACAGGCCACCATGGATCTGCACCTCAATGCCCTTCGGAGTCATGAGAGCGCAAGCAACAGCAGCTCAGGAAGCAGCAGCAGAGGAGACCAGAAAGGTCACTACCTTTGCATGAACAATAATGGCAACCAGGATACCATGCTTAGCTCTCCATGGGGTGGTCACCTTCCTTCCCACAAACGTCACACAGGGCTGCCTCTGTGCCCGTTCCATAGGTGCACCGTTACAAGCAATGTCCGTATTGCTGCTCCAAGCAGTCAGTGACAGTCACCAGGCTAGACGTGGTGATCAGAGAGCTCTAGCCTGAGCTCTGGTAAGTAGGACTGAAGTACTGACTGGTTAAGGCAATGTTTTCTCATTGCATTTACAGGCTGAAGCTTCAGAGATCACCTGCCAAACACAGACTGAACCTGACAGCATGTCACACCAGGGTATAGTTAACAACCATTTTCTTCTTGGGGACAAGAGCATTGCAGAGTTAAAAGAGATGGCATAACAGTGGCACATAGGCCATAGCTCAAGCCCATCAGCAGTTAGCAGTTCTGTCTTGGGTAGCCTTGCCAAATAACTCAGAACCAAATAACCAAGGAACAGTTAATTGTAACTGACTAGGTGTCTTCTGAAATGGTTGGGCATGTCATATGGTTCATAACACCCGTGGATTTTGTTGCTTTCTGTTCACCCTATTGGTGAAGGAAAGATTCCTGCCTTGGAGATTCACAGATGCCTAGCCACCCAACACCCAACACTGGCCAGATGAGATCCTCAGCAGTTTACTGGTCACATATACTCACCACCCAAGGAGAAGAACATTGCCGGGCATGCAGGAGCACGTTGGGGTTGTAACCAGGAATAGTTTGAACAACCAGGTGCTGCGGGAGTAATAGTAACAAGAGTTACTATTAGTTACATTAGGTAACCAGAGTAAGGCTTGGATTTCTAAGAGTGACACGCTCAGTAAAAGGGTAATATGATAAAACCCTAACCTCCTAGGAAGACAGTAAGGAGACTTGCCAGTCTTGACTTTGACTTGGATGGAAATGGGGGAAAGACTCTCTTAATAACTTATGAACAAAAACGAAACCTCACATTAAATGTGCAAATTTGCAACTGTGTAGTCTATGTAATTTGAACAAAAGTCATGCTGAGAATATAAGGCTAATTTTTTTTTTTTTTTTTTTTTTGAGATTGAGTCTCACTCTGTTGCCTAGGCTGGAGTGCAGTGGTGTGACCTCAGCTCACTGCAACCTCCACCTCCTGGGTTCAAGTGATTCTCCTGCCTCACGCTCCTTAGTGTCTGGCATACAGGCACACAACACCACACCAAGCTAATTCTTATATTTTTAGTAGAGACAAGTTTTCACCTCGTTGGTCTTGAACTCCTGACCTCAGGGGATCTGCCCACCTTGGCCTCCCAAAATGCTGGGATTACAGGCATGAGCGACTGCACCCGGCCTTAAGGAAAATGTTTTTAAAAATATGATCTCAGGGCCAGACTTGGTGGCTCACGCCTGTAATCCCAGCACTTTGGGAGGCCAAGGTGGGTGGATCACGAGGTCAGGAGATCGAGACCATCCTGTCTAACATGGTGAAACCCTGTCTCTACTAAAAATACAAAAAAAAAAAAAAAAAAAAAAAAATTAGCTGGGCGTGGCGGCAGTTGCCTATAGTCCCAGCGACTTGGGAGGCTGAGACAGGAGAATGACGTGAACCCGGGAGGCGGAGCTTGCATTGAGCAGAGATCGCGCCACTGCACTCCAGCCTGGGAGACAGTGAGACTCCGTCTCAAAAAAAAATATATACACACACACACACACACACACACACACACACACACACACACACATATATATATAAAATCTCAGAACCCCAAATCACAAAGCAACCAAAGAAATGTTTCCATGAGAAAGATTCAACAAAAACACAGTAAACAATGGGATCAGAGAATAAAGAGTTTAGATATTGGAATTTTTCATAGAAAATTTTTTTCACTATTTGAGAAGAATATATTTTGGTTTTAGTACTGTGGCATAATGTATAACTTTTTATAATAATAACTATATATGATATAGTATAGGTCTTAACTGTATCATTCATCATACAGTTATATGTTAAAATAGTTAATATTTATATGCCATAACATGGAGCGTGATGTTATGTACTTTCTTCTCCATTTTTCATTTGGAATACATTCTACAATGTGACCCAAAAATGTAAGAACTTGTGACTTGTAACTTTTGTTTAAAGCCGTAATCGTGCAATAATGTGCTACAGAAAGATTCAATTGACTTCTCTGATGAAACAAGCTTCATTGTATCAGCTCTACTGTTCGGTGAAATGGGCTTTAAGTAAAAGATAATATAACATTTTAATGCATTGTGTATAATGTACACATGCATATTGTCTATGTACTGAACACACATTGTATATGATATTGCTATTACTATTTGTGAAAAATTTTATAGCCTTAATATATTTGAAAGAATAATTGAGGATTTTTTTATTTTTTATTTCTTTTAAACTTACAGATTTTAATGGGAAAAGCTTATGTCATATGTTAAGCAAACACAGCAGGAAACAGTACAGTATTTTGGAAACTATTTAAAATCCCACAGAAAAAAGACTGGAAGCAAACAGCTGCTCTTGTGTGATAAGACTATTATTTTTATTTCAATTATTAAAATATTCCTTTATTATTTTTACTGTGAGGAAAAAATATGTAAGTATAAATGACTAATAAGATACTGTAATACAATGAACTAGACTTGAAAAATAAGTAATAAGATACTGTACTAGACTTGAAAAATAAGTAATAAGATACCATAATATAATGAACTAAACTTGAAAAAGAGCAAAGTAGATTGCCTAGAAATAAAAATATGATAATTGGAAATAAAAACTGTGTGGATTATGCGACTGATTAGGCACAGCTGAAGAGAGAATAGTGAACTATATATACTTATGATGCAATTCTCTGAAGAATCTAATACACTTTTGATGCAGTTGCCATTCTTATGTAGAACGTTTTGCTGTTTTTACGTATTATGTGTATATATACGTATATATATGTAAACGCTCTATGTAAGAATGGCAAAAATGCTCTCTCGCTATAAAAAACGCTATATATGTTGTGTGTGTGTGTGTGTGTGTGTGTGTGTGTGTATATTTAGAGAGAGAGAGAGAGAGAGAGAAATTGGTTCATGCAATTATGAAGGCTGAGAAGTCCTAAGACTTTGGCAAGCTGGAGACTCAGAAGATCTAATGATATGATTCCAGTTTGTGTTCAAGTCTGATAACTGGGAGACCCACTGTTGTCAGTTCCAGTCGAAGTCTGAGTTTAAGGCAAAAGATTGAAGGCTGAAGACAGCTTGAAGACAGTCAGGCAGAGAAAGCAAATTCTCCTTCTCTCTATCTTTTTATTCCATTCAGGACTTCAATGCGTGGGATGTGACCCACCCATATTGAGAAGGACAATGTGTTTTATGCAGTCCAGTGATTCAGATGTTAATTTTATCTGGAAACTCCCTCACAGACACACCCCGAGAAATGGTTAACCAAGTATCTGAAGACTTTGTAGCCCAGTCAAGTTGTCATATAAAATTAGCCATCACAATTAGCAAACTTCTTAACAGCAAAAATAGAATAATGTGGAATAATATTGTTAGATGCTTTCATCCTAAAATAGTATATTTGTAAGAATGAGGATAAAAATAGATCTTTTCAGGCATCAAAAAACCATAGTTCCCAAAAGAATTTCAAAGGCTAAATTCCAGGAGAAAAGGTGAATTATCTCAGAGGAATTGGAACATGAAAAAAATAGCGTTGTGGAAATATAATGGTATTATGGATATACATAGAATACCAATTCTTAAATACTTAGATATATGCTAAGGTATTTAGATATGCAGTGTCATGTTATTGGCAGCTTGCTTTCAGTTGCTGAAATAAAAACTGTGCGTGTGTGTGTATGTATGTATGTTTAGAGAGATTAAATATAGCAAAGTGTTGATCGTTGAATCAGGTAGGGAGGCTCGTGGTTCAAATCCCAATACTTTTGGAGGCCGAGGAGGGAAGATCGCTTGAGGCCAGAAGTTTAAGACCAACCTTCAACTCTACAAAGAGTTTAAAAATTAGGCAAGTGTGGTGCTGCCCACCTGTAGTTTTAACTATTCGACAGGCAGACAGGACACTGCTTTTAGCTCAGACGATTGAGGCTGCAGTGAGTTGTGATCATGTCACTGTACTCCAGTCTGGGAAACAGAGGGAGACTCTGTCTAAAAATAAAATCTACCAGAAAAACACTATAGCTGAAAGCCGTCTATTTAATAATCCTTAGAATTTTTGTCACAAATTATTGTAAACAAGATCTGTTGTTTCCATGATCAAAAATTTCTCCACCAATGTCTAATTTTGTGGTGCTTTTGTGAGTCCTCCAAGATCATCATGGTTCAATGACCACATTAATACTCAAAGCCATTTTCAGAAATCAATGGACAATGAGTGTATTTGTCTATTTCTAGAGTGTCTATTTTATTTTTTATTCTATTTGTCTACCTTTGAGGAATACCACACAGAGTTAATAAGTAAGACTTTGTGAGCCATCAAGTCTGATAGTGTAAGTTCTTTACCTTTCCCTTTCTTTTTGAAATAAGAAGCTTTTCTCCGTCTGTTGCATTTTCATATAAATTTTTGGAATCAGCTTATTACTCCTATTATGGTAGATTTGATTGAAAAACTTCACCTTTTAATATGCTTTAATGGTTCTCCTTGACATCAGTCCATCAGTCTCTATCTTCAGAAAGTGCATCCTTTTTTTTTTTTTTTTTTGAGACAGAGTCTCGCTCTGTGGCCACACTGGAGTGCAGTGGTGCAATTTCGACTTACTGCAACCTCCAACTCCCTGGTTCAAGCGATTCTCCTGCCTCAGCCTCCCAAGTAGCTGGGATTACAGGCACGTGCCACCACGTCCAACTAATTTTTTGTATTTTTAGTAGAGATGGGGTTTCAACCATGTTGGCCAGGATGGTCTCGATCTCCTGACCTCATTATCCGCCTGCCTTGGCCTCCCAAAGTGCTGGGATTACAAGCATGAGCCACCGCACCTGGCCAGAAAATGCATCTCATACATACCTTTACTACGTGATTTAGAAGTTTTCATGATTCCCTGGTGCTTACAGGATATGTTCACATATTGTTCATGGTATTCATTTTCCTTGCAACTGTGTTATGACTATGCTCCAACTCATTTTTCCAACTCCATGTGGGCATAACACTCCATGACAGCGAAATGTTTCCTTTTCTCTTATTTGGGACTTGCTTTTTACCCTCCCCTCTTTTAGCTTACAGATAACTTCTCAGGCTTAGTAAGCCTTTCATTCCCTTTCTACCTGTGTGGATTCCTCCCAATTTTAAGGCTCTGTATCTGTTCTAC